TATAATACAAAAACAAGGCATGGCTTCTAGTTCTGTTAGTCAAGAAGATTTAGAAAATGATTTTGAATTGACATCAAGACGATCTCGTATCAGGACAGCCAGAGCAAGAACAGTAAATCCTTCAAGAATGGGTTAGTTTTTGTGTACATATTTTAATTTTTTTAACCTATCATTTTAAATATAAAATTATTGTAATTTTACTGGATTATTTTTTTTTTTAGAATCAAATGGTGACACTACTGAAGAAACAATTAGTATCTCTAAAATACCGGATACGTTAAATATTACAAATTGCGGCCAAGAACATGATGCCAGTCCGAAACCATTGAGCAGGTCGAAAGACAAAAGAGTTAACAGATGTGTTCCAGTTAGACAGCCTCTAACAGATCACATAAATAGGTCATTATTTTATTATTAATGTGAAGAAAAAAAATTAAAATTAATATTATTAGTTTCAAAAAGGAATAAAAATGTTTTTATTCTAGGGCCAACCATCTTAATAAAGGGAAGCAACAGAGGGATCGCAGGAAATTAAGGGAAAAAAGGAGAAGTACAGGTGTTGTTCATTTACAATCTACAGAGGTAAGATTTTTTTTGTTTAAAAATTTAAAAAATTTATGTCTCAATTTCAATATTATATGTGTAATTCTTATTTCTAGTCTACTGGAGGAAGCACTGGAGAGGATGAAGATGATGTACTCTCTGCTTCTGGTGAAACAAAACAAAACACTCAAAACGAAAATGTCGAGAGGGATTTGTTAGAGGTATGTATTTATTTAAAATTATTTCAAATATATTATTTTTGAGTTATTATAGAACTTTATAAATTACATCAGTGCTAATATTTTTAAATGTTTCAGATATTAACACCTCCTAAGTCATTTCATCAAAGATGCAACAAGAGGTATGTATTCAAAATATTATTTCAAAAATAATTATTATTTTATTGTTAATACTTTATTACAATATTTATGTTTTATTTCATTTTCAGTCCTTCAGATTTAGATGCAGATGATGAAGATAATCAAAATCAGTCAGATTCAACTGTAAGTAGTCTTGTACAAGTTCCCGAGCAACAAACAAGAGCGAGGCCGGGTACTCCTACAGGGGATACTATTGTGGAGGTAACACCAATGAAAAATGATTTGTCAAAAATCATAATTAGTTGGAAAATATCTGCACCAGTTATCCAAAAAACATATTCACTCTTATTTGCTTAATTGTTGTTTTTTTTGTCTCTCTAAATATTTGAGAAATAAAAAATAATGGTTTTCT